AATATTTATATTTTATTATTATTTAATATTTTTTTAAATTCCTTTCTTATTTTGTTCAATATATATAATTATGTATAATAATTATGGAAAAAATTTTTTAAGATAAGATGTTATTAATAAAAAAAAAAATACTTTTGTTTTTTTTCAATGTTTTTTATGAAACTATAATATAATTTAAAAAATTTTAAGTATATGAATTCAGATTTAAATAAAGAAATATATAAATGTAAGGTTATATTTTTAAATGATAATAATCATAGCTGTCAAATAATCGTTTTAAATATTTACACATGCATTTAGTGCATTCAACATAATTTTATGTAAGTAATATTTGTATTTTCACATTGATATTTTATATATGCAAAGTATTAATAATTTTTATTTTAACGTATATACATGTATATATGTATATACAAAAACTTTTTAGTTTGAAAGATCATATAATGATTATACTTTTCAAGATTCATAAAACAATTTTAATTTATATATTTTAAATTGTGAGAGACAATAATAAGTTATTATAAAATAAAAAATAATATTGTAAATTAATATTTTAAAGTAATATTTTAAAATAATAATGTAGATAAATATAAATAATAATTTAAAATATAATAATAATATAGAATGCCATATTAACCTAGTATGTATTGAATATATATTATAATTCATTTGATTACTTTTTATTATAAATTTAATATAATATATGTATGATAAAATTAAAAAAAAAATTATTTTTCAATAATGCATATTATTAGAAACTTTTTTTTCAAATATGCATATTATTAGAAATAAATATAACAATTGTATAATAAAAAATATATATTTATTTTGTTAATAGTAAATAAAAATTAAACTCTTTTAATTTAAATAATTTAAATAATTTTTTAAAGTTTAACAATTTGATTAGAAAGAAATAGAATATATTTAATTTTTAAATAGAATATTGCATTTTATTTAATGAATAATTTCATGAAATTGATGTCGATAAATATTACGTTGTAATTATTTAGTAATAGATTTGTGATTGAACACGAAAAAAATAAAAATATAAAATAAAATATTAAAAAAAAAAATAAAAAATTTTATTAAAAAAAAGATAGAAATACAAAAATAAAATTATTAGCTTTTTAAAAGAGAAAGAAAGAAAATAGAGGAAATAGGAGCAATGGAAATTATCAAATTAAAGGAAAAGTGAGGTTAGAAAAAAATTGAAAAAACAAATAGCAGAAAAAAATATTCTGTTATTATATAAAAAAATATAAAAAATTTAAATTTTTTTCTTATTTTCTGAAATTTAAAAAAAAATTGTTGGAAATTTTAAAGACAATTTATTTAAAAAAAACTGTTAATGTTTGAACATGTTAAAATATATTAGTCAATTAATTATTTAATTAATAGTTTAACAAGTCTTTTTTACGTTACGATGCAAGCCCGCTAAATATCGATTTGATATTATAATAGAGAAAAGTAATTAAAAATTCATTTAATTCTTTATTTGTTAAAAAAGAATGAATAAAATAGAGTTCAAATATCATAGTTTCAAAAAAAGAATATTTTGATATCATATTAATATTATATATCATATTTGCATTTTTATTAAAATCTTAATGAATATTTTATGTTAATATTAGAAAAAACTCATTTATTTAATATATTTATATAATTTTAAAGTTGTTATTTTCAATTATCGAATTATTGATATAAAATTGATATATTTAAAATTTCCTCGTAAAAGTTTTTTAATACTACAGTATTTGAAAATAGTTTTGAAATTTCATAATAATAAAATAATTATTGATTTATATAAATTAATTCTCTTAAACAGAAATTTAATATATATTGATGTATATCATTTATTTTAAACCAAATATTTTTTTTTTTAAGAATTTAAAATTGATATATATATAATAATATTTTCGAAGATATATATTCATTGTATTCTCTACATGTGATACATATAAAAAATAACAAGAAAAAAAGTCTTACACATATTTTCATTTTTATCCGAAATTTTTATATCTAAGATGAATTATATATTTTACATTTATATACATGTTTTTTTATTTTTTGAGAAATTATCACATATTTTTAAATATGAATATTTATGATATTTTTTAAAATATATTTAAGTAATTTATATAATTTTGTATAATTATTTTAATATTAATAATTTTTCTTTATATTCAATATTTAAATAATGCATAAAAAATAATTTATTATCATTAAAAAATTAATAGAATCATTTTATCTATGAAGCTCGAAAAACACAATTTTTAACAATTATCAAATTTATTTTTAACAATATTATTAACAAGTCAATTGAAAATTATGTTGTTTTTAAATTGTAATAATGCATAAATTCAAGATACTAATATAAAAAATACTGATAACAAATGCGAGCAAATGGCAGTGCGCTAGTTATGCCGAACATGCAAGCAAGGAAATATCGCTAATTTTTTATAAGTAATTTTTGAATATGTTTTGTGTGCTCAAAGATAATATATTATTGTTATTTTTTTAAAAATAAAAAAATTTAAGAAATTTTTAACTGTCAATGACTTAAATTACAACTTTTATAATGTAATTAACAATAATTATAAAAATTACATAAATATCAATTAAGTAAAATCAATATTGAAGTATAGGAATATGGAATGATACTTTTTTTTTCTGGAGAACATTTCTTAAGGAGATGATAAAAAGTGTAAAATTACAAATATACATATTTATAAAGCAATCATTGAAAAATCATTATATGCAAAAGAATATTTCAAATAATTATTTACTGAAATAATAATAATCATTTAATTGTGAAAGACTTAATTGTACTTAATTGTTTTGTTTTTAATAAGCATCACAAAGTAATGTACAGATTGCATATCAGTACATTACAATACATATAAATGTTTTGTATCTTTGAACATGTACACAAATTTATTATACTATTTATATTAAATTTTTTACTTAATAGAATGCCACATTTATTTCAATAAATTAAATTTTTTGAAAATGATCTTCATCTGATGCATAGGAATTATTAGATGTTTGTAGTCATTATAATGTAGGATGAGTGGAAGGTGATTCACTTTCTTCATCTTCCTCTAATTCATCATCTGTATCTGAAGATAAATGTTCTCTCAGAACTAAGGAACGCATTTGTTCTAATACCTGATGTAAAGAGTCTCTTTGTTCCATTCTGTCATTTAGAGGTGTAGCATCACCACTTGCTGTTCCACCAGCTGGTGTTTGTGGTGTATTACTTGGAGGTACTGGAGTATTTGTACCATCTCCGGTGCCTTTAAATATAAAATAATAATATTCATTTATATAATTATTAATAAACATAGTACAGTTATTACAAAAAAATTAAAACTTCAACTGATTTTACTAATCATTATACCCATATCATCACTTGCAGGACTAGCTGGTCTTTCTGCTCCTCTTACTTCTCTAGTAATTTCTTCATCTTGATTATTTAATCTTAAACCTGCAACTCCTTTTTTCGGTACATTATATAAATCACGCTTAATCTTTCTTCGTCTAGAAGGATCATTTCTACGCAACTGAAGCATTGAACCAAAATCAGCAATATAAAGAAATCCTGCGATTAATAATTCACAATTCCGTTTGCCTTGTTTATATGCAGTTTCTAATTCATGACTTGTACGTTGATCATATTGCCACCAACCTGCAACAATGTAATTTAAAAAATTACAGAAATTATGACATTCAAAATGAGAATGAAAAAAATTTATTTAAATAAATCAGTTATTAAGTTCAGCTAGGGTATTTATAAAGAAAAATAACATATTCTGGAATACAGAAATTTTATTATAAATATACATATTGAAACTAAATTGTATATTTATCTTTTTATAACAAAATAATGGAAATTCTTATACTTTTTATATCATACATGAAAATTATTAAGTTTTATGTCATACATATTTCACATGAAAATTTATAATATTTTATGTATTATACATAGTTTTATAAATAATTATGACTATAAATACAATCAAAAACACTTTATGCCAATATTTAAAATGGTATAAAAAATAAGATTACAAATTATTTTATTCCTGAAACACCTTTGCATGGTGCGTCCTTTTTATCGCGCTTAATATTACGTTTATAATATGGTTGATATTTTCTGTATTGACAATTATTTTTAAAATCAACTATGTAAAGCATGCCGCAAATTAAAATTTCACATTGGGTGCTACCTAGGTTGTAAATATCCTCCAAATCCCGGCTGGTCCTTGAATCATATTTCCACCAACCTATGAAGGGGTAGGATATAAACTTCTCTATACTTCATCACATGTTTTTAACAAATAATGAAGTTATTTACTTTTTATTTTTAATTTATTAGTAAAATTAATTTTATTCATAATATTTTAATAATTTAATTATAATTCTATTTTATTATTTTAATAATATGCTTTTTTAATTTTTATTTTTAAATATTTTTGTAGCATTTATATAATATATGTTTATCTATAGTGATACTTATGTTTAATATATTATAAAAAGCAATTTATAACTTTAAAATTAAAATAAATTTATGTATTATATAGTCATACTCTACCATTTCTGCCTTCATAAAACCATTGATATTCCTCTTCAAAATGTTCTGATTCCTTTTGTGTTTCATCTACTTCCACCAGTTGTGGTCTATTAAGAAAGTCAGGAGGAATTTCTTGACGGCACATAGGACATCTTTTACTTTGATTTGCAACACCTTTGACGCATAGATAACAATATATATGATTGCAAGGTAATCTTGCAGGATATATACATGGTTGAAGACAAACTGCACATTCTAATACTGTTGTTGAGCCTATCAATATTTTTAATAAAATTTATTTGTGATTAATATTATAATATTATTTGAATAATATATATAATATTTCCAAAATATATTACAAATGTAATATTATTATATTACAAATGTAATATTATAATATATTATATATAATATATAATATAATATAAATTAATTATAAATTAAATGAAATATTTTAAACAAATTATGATATAAAATTGATTAAATTAATAGATTATACATAATAAATAAAGAAATAATTTTTTCAGAATACATACCTTCTTTTTCATCAGTTTCTTTCTCTTTATCATTTAGCGTGTTACTTGTTTCTTCTTGCGAGTTAAGTTTCGCTTGAGCCATAATTTTAATCAAATTTTAATTTTTATTGAGCAGAATTAAAAATTTCGTAAATAGTAACATATATCATATCTACATATACAATTAACAAAATGTTGACTGTAAGCCATCTTCGTTGTTTATGACATATCAGGGGTTCTAAATTTTAAGAATAATTGAATTGTTATATGAGAACCCCTTAAATATATCGCTTACTTCATAATAAAGATGGTAATATTTAAATTAGAAGTCTTCATATTTAAATACATATCTAAATATATAATAAATATAATAAAATTTCTGTGTAATTCTAGCAGACGGATAGCCCTATATCAGATATTCTATATATTTTTATTGTAAATAAAATATATGCTACATATATATATATATATACATATTATTTTTATGTTTTAATAAATTTTATATATTTTTTTGTATTTTTATATATTATATAAATATTTTGTACATATTTTAGAAGACAATAAAGTTAATCAAATGTCCGTTGAATACTTCAATTTTGTACAGTAAATATAGACAAGAATAAAGTAGAAAAAAGACAGAGATAAATTAAAAATATGAAAATCAGCATCTTCAGAGTATTGCAATAAATAATGATAGCAAAGGTAGGAGAAAATAAATAGGGTAAAAATTAATCATTAATGTCAATTTTTGAATATCAAAGACATTTCTTCAAAAATAAAATAAAATAAATTCAGAATTGAGAATCAACGCCATTTTTAAACATTTCTAAAAAGATGATTTTTAGAAAAATGTTTTTAGTAATCAATAGATGGCACTGAAGGTCAATTTTTACATTTTATTTCTTACTTTGTTATTTTTGCTACAAACTGATGTAAGAATAAAATCATATAATATATTCCTGTAATTCAAAATCAGAATTATAGAATTTCATTATAATTTTAGTATCATTCGCATTATTTTTAAAAATGCAAAATTTGACATTCATTTGACAGCGAACATAAATAATATAGTGAATTAATAACAAAATAATAAAATAATAAAAAAAATAATAAAAAATTGTAAAACAATCAATTGTCTAAGACTATTTGGCAAAATAATAGCTAGAAAAAGAGATTTAGATGAAATTACTTAAATTTTTTTAAAAATAAAAATTAATTTTATTACAGAGAAATATAAGAATAAAAAATAAAAATATAAAAATAATAAAAATATATGTATATATAATATATTATATATAATATTGTATTTAATATATGTATATAATTTAATATATATAAATTATCTCAGCGACTATAGGAATTATATTCAATTACAAAAGTTGATAAAATTAATATATTTTAAAAATAATTTCTTTAACATATTATTTTATAAGTGCATGAATGAAACGAATTCATAGATTTTTTAACAGTTATAAGTATAGCTAATAAATAAAAGCATGAGTAAAAAAATAAATTTTATAGTATAAATATAAATAAAATTGATTGAAGAGCAAGAAAAACAAGTATAAATTAAAGATTGACCATTAATGTTAATCTTCTTATTATCTTCTTTAGAGATATCTTACTTATTAATTATAAGAAAATAAATTAAGATATAGAATATAAATTAAAAGATAATATGATTTTGATCTTTGAAATTATATAAATCTTTAATATATATTATAATTCAATCAGATAATAACTTACCTAAATATTTTTTAAAATACGTAAGTAATTATTATGGTAGATATAAAAAAAAATTATAGATCATGCTGCAATATACAGCATGCAAATAAGTATATTTAAATTTTATTGAATGATTTAAAATAACAATTATGTGTTCAAAACCAATCTCGGCATAAATATACATCTATATACAAAACATGGCTTAGATCTTAAATAAAATTATAATACAATATACAATTTCTACTTTGTGTGTTAGATATCATAAAATACTGTTAATTATTATTTAAGAAATAATTATAAAATATAATAGAGATTAATTAATTTATAAATCAAGCCTGTCATTATGAAACATTTGGCAGTTTCTTGGTTTTCGTAAATTATAGATACAAAATATAACAACCCTATTACCTCATTTTCAATATTATGTACATTATTATCAATTTGATCTTGTGGAAATTAAGTGCCACTCACAAATGAAGTATATAGAAATAAAAGCTCGAATTCGTATTTAATATAATCGGACGAAAAGTACCCAATAACACCGGTCAGTATCACAGCTACTTTCTGTTCTTTCAATTGCAATGAAATTATTAATTAAATAGTCTTTTATGTAAGTAATTATTCAACCAATATACATTCATACAATATACGTATAGTATACGTATACGGTATTCAAAAAAAGTGCTAATCAAAAAAAAGAGAAAAAGAGAATATTTTATGATATATATATATATATTAAACATATTGACTACTACAGCAACGTAGGAAACTTAAGTTTCTGCAACGTACTGTAACCGAACGCAAAATAGATTGCGCAAGATTTTCGTATTACTCATTGATACATGTTATCAATGAACAGAAGAAATCCTTTGGTCCAATACATATGTTTTTTTTGATAAATCACTATTAATTCATTTAGAGATCATGCGCCAGTTTAATCAATTGCACAAATTTATTTGTGCGTATGTAGGAATCATATTTTTAAATAATAATTATATTTAAATTTAAATTTAAATTTTTTTATATATAATTTATTAATTTCTTGCAACACCGCATATCATGATATTTGGCAGCGCTCCGCGTCGTTTGCGCCATGCACCGAGAGATTGTGCGTGTGTTTGTAATGTTCTACACCATCTCTTTGTTCTGGCGCCATCTTCGGCCTGTAAGATAATATTTTTTATAAATGAAATATTGTTAAAAATAGTTAAAAATATTTCTATATGTTTAATATTGCAATGTGTGCAATGAATAATATGATAAATAATATGATAAATTGCAATAAAAAATAACTTTTCAAAAAGTTTAATTTTAGAAATATATGAATATAATGAATAAATAAATAATTTTTAAAATATAAAGTATTGTTTTTAAAAAAAATTATCTCACCTTAAAAATAAAAGTTTCTTTTGACGACAATTCTTGAATTTCGAAATAATCTTCAAGATCTGTTTCACAACATACTATACATTTATCTAAATACAATGGTTCCTAAAATAAATAAAATCTTTTATTTTAATATAGAATAAAATTGTGTAGGTATTTAATATTCAAAGGCGTGTAAATAACTTACTCGCAATAAAGAATAACGTCCGAATTTTTCTTTAACTAACAATAAAGTAGCTTCTTTAATACCAATGTGTCTTGGAAAGAGAGAATCATCGTTAAATTCAAGATCCTCTGAATTTGGCTGTAAAAAGATTATTATTATGTAAGCATAAATTGTATGAAAATCATACAATTTATATGTAATCATATATAAAAATTATTCACTTTGCCATTAGTAACCAACATAGCAGTTACAGGAGCAAGTTTGACAGTACGTCCGCGTCTCCAATTATTATCTGTTGGTTGAGCAACTAAAAGACGTCCTTCTAATACAAATTTTGCTTCTTCATGAGCCCATTCTAATACTTCCACGGCCATCTATTATTTAATTGTTATATTGCTTAATTATGTCATATTATATATAATATATAATATATATATATATAATTAAAGTTTTTATTTACATAAATAATAATAATATATTTATAAAAATATTTTGAAATAAATATATCTATATTACCTTTCTCAATTTTATATTCACCATATCTTGTTCACCGATCGGTCGTCTACCATTTTGAATAATTGAAATTCTTCTCCAAAGTTTCGTCGAAGTCACATCTTTTGCTTCCTATTGTTACATTATTAAATAAATTTATTACATATATAATTTACATTTATATATAAAAATTAACTTTATATATATATAAATATATATAAATATATGTATAAATAAATATAAATAATATATTTACAGCATTCATATGTTCCAAATGTAATTCTATATTAGCTTGAGCCTGTTTTAGTCTCTCTTTTGCTTCTTGTATATCTGGTCGTACGGAAGGCGTAGCTTTTAGTAATCGTGCCAAGAGAAGAGGATATTTCGTCACTCTTTGTACTGGAACCTATGAATTATTTTTCGTATATAATTTTATAATTTTATATAAGAAAATTTATCATAAGTTTTCAATGAAAAAACATATTTAATATTTGAAAAATAATGTTTTAATTTTATTTTTACCATTAAGAAAGAATTTAAGTTCATTCTACGTAAAACAGTGTTTTCCATTTGTGAAACTTTTAGAAAAATTCGTAGTAGCTCTTTCTCCTTTTCCAGATTCTGTAACAATAAACTTGCGCTTCCTTGACGAGTACAATAGCTTTCAAATGCATGTAACATCCGTTCAGACTCTAGAAAAATCTTGCCTACATCTACCGTTAAAAGATCTTCATCTCCAGATTCCTATGAATCATTTACAAATTTTTTACTTATTTTTAAACAATTTTATTTTTATTTTATTAAAATCAATCAGAACGTTAATTTACTTATAGCGTATAAGTAATAAAATATAATACATATATAACTTTTTATTACCTGAGCAAATTCCACAGCGAATTTTAATTTCTCTGCGAGTACAAGATTGTGTTCGAGAAGTTCTTCCACATTGAGAAAAATCGCTGTAAGCTGTTCAGATGTAAGCAGGCCAGCCCTTAACATGGGTCTGTGAAATTCTTCGAGAATAATTTGTAGATCTCTTCCATATTTTTGTTCAGTCTCGACGATTTCCGTGATGATTTCTTTTCGCTCTATTCTTTTTTTCGAGCATTTTCTGCACACGAAAGGTGCATATACTACACCGCTAAATAATATAAATATAACAATCGTTAAAAATTTTTTAAAAAATTTTTTTAAAAATCTTAATGCTAATTAATAATCATTAATAATTTTTGTGCTTATAATTTTATCAAGAATCATAACATTTAGAAAATTATTAAAAAATTTTTACATTCAAAGAATATAATTTAAACATTTTTTTCTTGCATATGATTAATTTATTACTTTTTTTTCTTAAATGTTTGTAATTAAATATTTTTATAATTAATTAAAATTTAATTTAAAATTTAATTTTAATTTAAATCATACCGTAAGTTAAAATGATTTTTGTTATATCTACAAAGATGCACTATGAATTTAAAGAAAAAAAAATACAATCGACTTGGCATGTGTTCGAGGTTGAAACATATATTCGGTAACAAAACTTTCGCTCGTTGCGGTAAGTAGAAGCAGTAAGAGAAAACACAATTCAGTGATTCTGAATATTTGTTACGTAGTTTTGTTTGAATAGATAATATTAAAATTATGTATTATTTTAGTTATAGGAAATATACATTTTTAATAATTTTTAATAAACGTTTTTAATAACAATGCGAAATACTTTGTTATTTTTTTTATATATATATTAATATTAAATTTTTATTTTTTTTTATTACAAAGAAAAAATGTTTCTATATATATATATGTTTTATATACATAATATTATTATCACAAATATAAAACACATACCTATCTGTTATTAGAGGATCCAAACGTTGTTCGCAGTCCTCGCAGTGCTTTGAATCACCGGAAATCACTTGTGGGATTCCACTGAGGAGACTTCCTGGTCCCGAAGAGACATTTCCTGCTCTCCAACGTCTCGGCACGCCCCGTGTGCTGCTGGCTTGACTGCTTTCAGATCCCACTCCGCTATCAGTTCTTTCTATATCTACAGCTCTTACCTTTAAAAAAAATATCGCTATTACAATACGTATCATTATTTTTTTCGATCCTTATCTCGTCTATCGTTATCCACAAATCTTTAATCGAGTAAACTACGTTATCGTCTTATATATTTATATATATAAATAATAATAATAATTAAATTTCAATAGGGACGATCGTTTACATTGCCTATAAATTTTTCATTCATCGTTACGAGGGATCTTATTTTTCAATAAGATGTTAAATCACGAGAATTTAATTAAAAAAATTATTATATTCTTTTTGTATTTAATTATATATATATAGAAACTCACTTTTGACGTCTCTGATGAGCTGGTCAATATAATGTTGCATTCCTCGCTGCTGTCGGAAACGTTGGATATCTGCGAACTTTTCGAGCTAAGGTCGCCCAGGCTGGTTTCCTTTTGTTCATAGAGCGCCTCCAAATCTCCTTCCGTATCCTCTTCGTCCTCGTCGTCCTCGTCCTCCTCCTCTTCGATGGATATCGCTCGATCCTTCGTGTCCATGAGGAAGTTAAGCAACTCGAACTTGCTCGAGATGTTCCCCTCCTCGGGAGACGTGGACATTTTCTTGAAGAAATCCTCGGGGCTCTTCGACAAATATGTTTCCCCAAGATCCTCGGAGTTGGATTTTTTGTAAACATTGTCGGTCAAATAGGATCCGAGGAACTGATCGGAGCTACTCTTTCTGTAATAATCGATGTCACCGAAATATATCCTGTCTTTTATGTAATCTTCGGTGGGCGGCGGGCTCAGTGGAAGAGGGGGGGGTTCGTCCGGTATTTCCTCGTAAATCGGCTCCTTGATTACCTCGTAAGGATTCTCCTCGAGGAAAAGATTGGTCGAGATGAAGTCACCGTCCGAATTCAAGCTGGACGCTCTCGAGTAATTCGCCTCGAGAGTGGACTCTGAACCCTCGTACTCCTTGCTCTTCAACAAACTCTGCTTCAGTATCTTCAAAATGGCCTCGCCGCTGTCCTCGTCCAGGATCTCCCCGTTCTCGCGCGCCTTCCTCAGAGAATCCTCGAGCAGCTTCGAGATCAACGCCTCCTTCGACAACGAGGCAACTTTCGACGAATTTTCCGCCGTTCTCTCGCTCCCCGCCTGAAACTTGGCGTTCCTCTCCACGAGGGAACACCTACCACCTTCCACGGTCGATCTCGTCGTCCGCTTCTCACAGTCAACCGGAATCGTCTCCGGAATCGTCGTGCTATTGCTCTCGGATTCGGTGTTTCGCCGAGAGCGTTGTTCGAGCGTCTCCTCGGAGACAGATTCCGCCGTTTCGATCGTTTTCAACAACGGTTTCGATTTCGTATCCTCCTTACCGCCCTCCTTACCAGACGCCACCACGATATTGGATTTGTAATTGTCGAGGATGACGAGGGTCCGCGTCTTCTCTCCGGAGCTCTTTATTCGCGGTGGATTTTCCGAGTTAACCGAGATCACCGTTGGATTGTAAACGCTGTCCTCACCGCCCACGCTGATCGTCACCTTATTGTCCGGCGAAGTCTCAGCCGTGGGCTGAGTCGCGTCACCGTTGATCAAAATCGACGTTCTCCTCGATCCGTTGCCTAACCCCGTCGGGCCTATTTGCAATCGGTGAACGAGAGGGGATGCCCGGGGACTGACCGTGATCTTGTACACGTTGCTCGTCTCCGTGCTCGCCGATCCGATCTCCACTTTCGACGATCCATACGGATTCGACGTGCTCCAACTCGTTTTCAACAGCGGTTCGTCCCCAATTTTCGACCTCGTCGAATCGGAATTGTTGATTTTGTAACGATGCTTCGGTTTGCCGGGCGGAGGGGACCAACTGGTCGGTCTCATTCCTCGGAAATGAGGCTCGCCCCCTCCCTCCGTGTTGCTTCGAACATCCATCGACGCCTCCGTTTCCGGTTTCGTTATTCTCTCACTAGGAACTTGTTCGACTTCCCTCGCGTTCGCGGTCTCGGATCGGGATTCCATCTCGAACGAATCGATCTTCGCGTTCTCCTTCGTTGAATCGTTCATCATCGACGAGGAATCTTTTCGTCGGGTCGTTTGCTCGCTCGAATCTAACGGGGGAGGTGACGCTTCTTTCACTTTTCTACACAGGCTGAGACGCATAGTGTCCATGAAAAGCACGTCGCCGGCTGATACCTCCGGTCTGCTGAACGATCGTTCGCTTTGGCTGCGCGATAAACATGATTTCTTTTCTGCAAATTTAACACGACATATCGTACACTTTTTCTTCTTTTTCTTCTAAAATCATTGCTGATTATTAAAATATTTATACGTAAAAGAAACGATCGAGCAGGATAACGATATAAAGGTATAATCGTGTAATGTGTAAGTACAAGATCATGAAAAGAAGAGAAAACGCGCGAGATCTCTAAAAAGCATAATTACACGCTCGCGATACGTAGAGAAAGGAGAATTGTTCTGAAAATTAGTTTAAACATTTATGATTTTAAAACTAAGAAAATTTGTCGAGAAATTATTGTTAATAGAACGTTTCAAATTATTTCATCGAAATTTAGAATATATAATACATATCACAAGTAGTTTGAGAATGTTTTCGAACGAAATTAAATCAACTTTTTAACAAGCAAATTTTGCAACCAAATGGCCATTTGAAATTAGTGAAATTACGAAGGAAGATAATTCGTACTTGTGTAAAAAAAAAAAAAACAATTCTACCAATCGAGAAAATTTGAGAACACTAACTCGACCAACTTGTGTAGCAATACACAAAGTTTTGCAAAATTATGAATTTTCACATATTCGCGTTGACGAGCGAGTATTATATCTGTGAAATAAATCTGAAGATATCGCGCGGGAGAACGATAAAATTGACCTTCCTCCCCTCTCCCCACATCTGAAAGGAATAATTTTTATAAAACTCACCCTCGGATTTCAATATCAAATCCTTCTCGTCCACAGCGATGACCGATATACGATCCTTTCGTTCCTCGATCTCGATTCGCGATTCACTATCCTTCTCCCCCATCCTCATCTCGTCCACCTTCTCTATCCTCTTCCTCTCTTCGCTCTCCTCCCCCGCGCTCTCACGTTTCGACGAGTGAAGCGCACGACGATCGG